TATATATATATATATATATACATATATATTTTTTTTTTCTCCGCAATGAAATATATATTAATTTTTTGGAATTGTCTTTTATAATCTTGGATTTCTTTGAATTCTGTAGGAGATAAAAAATTTTTGTTACTCTGTATTAAAATTTGTGCTTAATCGTTGTTATGCTAAGAATTTGTAATACTATAGCAGCAACGTTTATCATCAGGAGACTCAAAAGGGTTAAAACGAATCGATCACTCGACGAAGGTACCGTAGGGTCTTCGACCTCTTGTCGTGCGGTGAAGGTCCGCGGATAACCTACTCCTTGGTTACTGCACTCGATGTCGGTGACCGGGACGTCGATCCCTCAGAGGAGGCGAAAGACCTCCGTGGACTACTCGGGACCGCGAAATAGAGGACTACGACATTCGCTCGGTGTAAATGAAAAAAGAGAACACGTGGCCTGCTGTACTGTCGAGCTCAAATTAATGATTTACACCTGTATTCGCAGAAGATGTAGACCTTATTAAAAGCATTTCTGAATTTGAATGAAAAAAACGTGAATTTTTTTTCATTTACCTCGTCGAATTTATTACTAATGAGTATTTATTTTTTAATCAAAATAATTTCTTATTTAAAGAGCGTAAATTTAATATTCTTCTCTTTCTTATAGGAATATATTAAAGATATTTTATGAATCCGTAGATTTTTAATCATGAAGAGCAAAAAATTATTTGATCCTTCGCTTCCAATATTTCTATAATAAACAGCGAATTCGAAGAAAAAAATGCTCGCGAATTCGCTGTACCTCGTTTATAGTATGCCCTTCGATTCTTATTCAAGGTCCACAACGGGGGTGCAGTGAACATCGGCTCTTCGAGGTTTCCATAGCGACCGCCACTAAACTACCCTTGCAACGCCCACCCGAGGGCTGCGTTTCTACTTTCCACCCTCTGTCTCAGCCGATCGAAAGCTATCGCGCTTGCAATCGTCCTGAAAGAAAGCGATCCTGCAGCAAGATTGTTGTCCTTATCAAAATTGAAGAATAATTACTATTAACATTAGAATTTTAAATTTTCTTTATAGAAATGTAGTTAATTTTCTACTTTTATTTATTAAAGAAAATTCTATATTTCTTTTTAAATTATGAAATTAGACATATATCTTGACATTAATAAATAAGATCTGTTGTATCTATCATATGAGTTTTCAAACACACTTTATTTACTATTTTGATTTTAAGATGCTAAAAATCATAGAGTAAATTGAAGACAAAAATATATGTCAGTCAATTTAATATTCTCCAACTTACCAACTTGAATCACCTGAATGTTGCACTTTATCGATTGGACGGTAGACATGCGTTGCTATGGCTACGAGAATACACCGTAAAACTACCTTCGGCCCTTGTGATACGTGACTTTTATAGGACGGTTTACGATGCCCCGTATATACTTGCGTCTGTATCGGCAGGACGAAGGACCTAACTATGAACAAAGACATGGATGCAGACGTCACCTTCATCCGGAAAAACCTCATCAAACCCTGTAATTAACCTCTTCTGTTTTAATATCAGTTCGACGTAATGCACCCTGCATACATATATGTATGTGTATATGTATGTATACGTATATGTATATACAGGATATTTCAGACTCGACGTATCACCTGTTAATAACATATTCCTTTTTGTTATTTTGAGATCAAAATTCTTATACCAAAATGTCGAGATTATAATAGTTTTTCCATTATAAACATTTAAAGTTAGCGAATCATACTACCTAAAGTTCGCGCTTTTTTGTTCTATAAATTGTTGGCATTTTGTTCTATAAATTGTAGAACAAAATCCTAAAAAAGCGCGAACTTTAGGTGGTATGATTCACTAAATATTTATAATTCAAAAATTATTATAGCCTCGTGGACACTTTGTGTTTTCAAAAATTGAGTCGAAAAGTCGTCTATTTAATTTTGCCCTCTATCTAATTTTGCAATTTTCGCAATGGTTGACGAAATATTAATTTTTAAATATTGCCGAATAAAGTGCGTATCCAGCTGCTCAACCACTAACTATGAAAACTGCAAAATGGTAGAGAACTTTTTGATTTAATTTTTTATCAAGGATAGCATTACGTGATTCGATAATCGCTTACTCGGCAATCTTTAAACATTAATATTTCATCAATTATTGCGAAGATTACAAAATGGTAGAGGATTTAGACTCAATTTTTAATCAGGAATAGCGCTATATGATTAGTGTCCGCTATTTGAGAAACATCCTGTATATATATATATATATATATAATATTTGAAAAAAATATGTATATACATATATATAACCCATTCATGTAACATTGATTTTTAAAATTGCGGTGCTGTAGACACTACTTTCTACAAAAATAAAATTATAAAGATAGAGTAGTTTGATATTAATATTTTTTTCACAAAGCATAATTTTATGGAATATAATCATTAATCGCACATAATCAATTAATTAGAATGAACAGTTTGACACGAAAAGTTAAATAAACTCTCGACAAATGAGCTTACGATTAAATTTGGAAAAATATTCGTCCCAATTTCCAAAGTTCTCCACTTTCCAGACGGGGTGACTAGGGGTAACGCAATCTCTTTCTCCCTCGAGTCGGACTCGCGGTCCCTCGCGATGCTGTGCGAAGCAAGGGTCGATTGACTCTCGTCGCCATCCCTAAAGCATCAAGAACAAAGACAATTCCTAATTCGATTGTGATGCTTTGTTCGTTCTACTTGGAGACACGTGTGACGATTCGTTTTGAAGTTTCCAATCTCTCGTCACTCTGCATATTATTCACACATTGTATTTTTATTCTTCATCGTCATATATAATATAACATCAATATACATTTCATTTCTAATTATAACATCTTTTAAATTTAAGTAATATCGTTTATTACAGTTTTTGTAGCGCACTTTTTCTAAATCTCTGGTAACTAATACTTTTAGATTAAAAATAATACAGTACTAAGAAATAATATACTTCTTATACATACTAGAAGCTTTAGAAAGCCATTCAAGTTCTAACTAGTCCTGATAAACAACTAAAGTGAATAAAATAAAGTAAATATACAACGAATTAGCAAGGTGTGTGTGTTGAGCAATATCGTTACTAGATTGAAACCGAGTTTGTTCAGGCGTTATAATGGCATTTGATAGGCATTATCACCATATGGCGAGTTTTCGTCGATTGGCAAAGATACCGGAAGAGAGGGTATCGGGATTCCGGGGCTGATTGCGCGGGACAAGGTCGTCGTTACCCTGACAACGGTATGTAGTCGGTGGCACGTGCTGCCTTAGTTCCTCCTCGTCTACTGACCCCAAAATGTGCGCGCGACGATTACTTTGGACGTACTCATGGGATTTGGGTTACTGTCACGGATTAGATAGGAAATGACGGAGATAAAATATCAAGAATATTGAGTCAATTTTCGTTCTTTGAATTTATTGATATTGTCATGTGACGCAGGAGCGATTTGTAATATTGTGTGTCGGAAGTATATAAGATTCAACTCCGTTCTCTCTTGTAATCATAAGATATTAATTTATATATACACTCAACTAAATTGGAAAGGTAAATTTAAGAAAGGGATTCATTTTTATTTCATTGAAGGTCGCTGATAATGGAATAATGGCCCTTGTAATCGATCAAACAGTTCTAAAGAGCAATAGCTGAATAACTCCCCTAACATTATATTGTACATATACTTGTCTTTTTTTGTACACATTCAAATAATAAAATAAAAATATTTTTCCTTTCGATATATAATATAGTCTATAAATACAGTTAACGTATTATATTGAGAGGAAAATAATATACGTGATGGGAAAAATATCCAATCAGGAAATATGTCAAGAATTACAAAAAAAATAGAACAAAGAGTTTGTCTTCGCCAAAGGAGAGCGAAATTGCGTTGTCGAGTAGAATGCGAAGTGAGAATATGTATTCCCCTCTTTCTCTCCTCGAAATAGGAGGCTTGTGGGGTTGTAGTCAATCTCTTTCTTTGTCTTCAGCTCCACATGTAACGCAATATTTCGTTCGTAGGGCCGCGACGTTTCGCGGACAAAGAACTTGGTCCTTATTGATGTATAGTCGTTCTGAAGCCCGGAATCCGGTGAGCTCGGTGAAGGCTAAATGGGGTGAAGGTCTCCAGGGTTGGGAAACTGGCGGGACTTTAGGGGCGGTTAGTGCAGAGCAAGATCGAACTTGGCCGAGAAGGGTCGGGGGTGGCAACGGCGCGTTCTCGAACTCTAAGCTTCGCAGCTCGTTTCCGGATCCTACATCTATTTACGAAAACACTGAATATATATATAGTCCCCTGTTTCCGACTTTGCTTTCTCATCACGTATCATACCCGCATGGGTTCGGCTCTCATATCGAATGATTCGACTTACAGTATACGTATAAAAGAATCAGAAGAATGATATTTAAAATAAATATTTTTGTAGATGAATTAGATATTTGTGATAGTGTATGAAAAATGTAAAATAAAGCCCTCGAATAGGAAATATAGGTAATGTCTTCCTACAAAAAAGAAGCAATAGTTCGTTTAATCCTATTTTTCTGCATCAAAGTATTAAATTACTCTCAAAGAATGACTGCTGATCGCGAACACTGATTCCATTACGTATCCAGTACGTATCAAGCTTCATGAAGATATCCCTAACCTACAGCAAGCAGCATCATGGTGTCAATCGCATGCAGATACACGTTCCCCCTTTGTAGCATCCAACGCATGTTACAAGATAGTAACGCGTTGCATCGCTCTGGCAATGTATTTGTAGGAAATTATACATCTCCCCCTCTCTGTCGTAGTTATCCGCCCTCCTGCCATTTCCACTTTTACCCTCTCGTGCTTTTCGCGCAGACACATGTGATCTCAAGCATACATATAAACTCAAGGGATGCTCGGGTCAATAACTTTTTTAGAAACAATAGAAATATTACATTCTTGCGATATTAGCTATAATTATTAGAAGTATCTCAATTTATTATTTATAAATAATAAAACCTCTTTGATATGATCGATATAGCTATAATAATCATATATAATTTTTTTGTTTCAGGTAAGTTCATGATGACCGTTTTTGGTGCCTAATTCTTTCTATATGCAATCGAACCACAATGTAAGTCCTTATATAATAATTATTATTTACAGTAAGTATTAATCATGACATATGAGTGACAAGTGTTATATTCCTGCATTTTGTTATGTAATATTTATAATTCGTATTCGATCAATATGGAATAAAGATGAGCAATGTTGGAGAAGAGAAATAATGATTTTTTATAATATATTTTCAAAATATCGACAATTTGCATTATATCAAGGATATTTGCGTTTTGTATTGCTCGTATTGACTTTGATTCGATTTGTTAAAAATCATTGCTCGCGTGAATGTCGCGGTCATGCTAAAAATAAAAACAAGTGTCAGGAAAGCACGTGTGCGTATGTACACGTGAAACCTGTTGCTACGTATTAAATGAACAACGTTTGAATAGTAGTCAGTAGTGTACACGCTGAAAAGTAGATGTCGCCCAGCGATACGATGCTAGCAGACTCTATCGGATATATTGTAAAGTAGAGTGATCTGGCAAGCTTTCTCACGTTTTCTCCTCTCTTTGCGGTCTGAACTGTACTGCCATCTACTAGTTCGACTGACCCGTCGAGAGAGAGTGATCTGCCCGATACGGAAGTTACCTACTTGACTGACTTCAGTCAGTCTGATTACATACGTCTTTGATCCTTACCAGTTGCGCGAATACATCTAAGTGAGAACGGACTACTGTTCAAACGGATATGTCGCTGTTTTGTTTACGGATGTAAAACCAGCGAGTAAAAATAAAAAATGTATCTATTTTTCTGATTTATTTTATCCTCGCATTATAATATTATACCAAAATTTATGTATTTTACCTTAATTATATATATATATATATATATATATATATATATATATATAATATAAAAACATTATATTATG